CACGGCGCCTGCGCGCGCGCCCCCGATCTCGGCGGCCGACGCGCGCGCCCCTGCAGAAATGCAACGCGCCCTTAATTCGAGCCCCGCTGCTGCGGAGCCACCTACTCCACAACCAAATCGTCTGGGGAGCTGTTCGGACCCCAAACTACTAATTAGTTCTTCAGCCACTCGGCTCTTGCGAGTCCGCCCTCATGACAAAGGGCAACCTTCACATGGGGACACTCAATGGGGTGTTGATTGAGAACGCCCCATGTGGCTGGTGGCAGGAACGGACGAGGGGGGGCGGATAGAGGAGCAGGACGAGCACTGGCAGGGGATATGCACCAGGAGAGAGATCTCATGGAGGAAGAGGAGGGGAGGGGACGAGAGCCACTCATAATTAAGCGCACGCAGGCCCACGCACGTGCTCCATTTCTCAGCGACCGCCGCGCCGCCATGAGAACTGTCGTACCACCGCCGCTAATGCGGCGGATGCGTGACCTCTCCCATCCCTGTCCTGCGCTGTTTCTGCTACCGCCCTCCCCCCTTCCAGCCAAGCTCGGGTTTCATGCTCGGAGACGGGCGCGGCTGGCGGCTCTTAGTGCGGGTGCGCGTGCTGCCTCCAACTCCTCATCCCCCTCCTCCTCCTCTCCTCATCCCCCCTCCTCTTCCTCCTCGTCCTCCTCTATCGGCCCAGCTCCGATCGCCGCTCAGCTCCCCTGGTGCGGCTGGCGGCAAAAGTACCGAATATTGCCTGGGATGTCCTTCACCTTCTTCTTCGACATCTCAAGCATCATCTTGCCCATCTCCTCGGTGCGGCGCGCCTCCTCCATCATCTGCCGCGCCTGGTCGACGAGCATCTGGCCCTTCACTCCAACGGCGCGTGCATGGCGGCAACGATTGCGCCACTGGAGAAACCGCACCACCATGGTCGCCCAGTGCCAAACACTGCCCTCCGTCGTGATGAGCTCGAAGTCATCGACGTCGTACTTGCCCGCGATGCTCGCCATAGCGGCGCAAAAACCGCGAAGGAGCCTCCTCTGGCAGTCCCCGCTGCTGCGGAGACTTCGGCAGAGGCTCCTGCGCGGCTCCAGTCGCGGAGGCGGGCGGGCGCGGCGGGAGGCAGACCTGCAACGGCTGCGGCTTCACTTTATCGCATTTCCATCCCTCCCTGCACCCACATGGCTTTTCCCATTGCGCCAGTCTGCTGCTCCCACTTCTGAACTACCTCATCCCTTCTACCTCCATCTGTACCCTCCTCTTCCTGTTCAATCCTCCCTCCTCCCTCCACCGTGCTCATTTCTCCTTACTCCCTTCTCTGCTCCTCCTACGTGGGGCGTTTCACGACAACGACGACGACGATGACCACGACGGCGACAACGAGGGCGACGACGACCACGACGACGACGACGAGGACGATGACCACGACGGCGACCAGCGACGACGACTAGCGACGACGACGACCGACGACGACGACGCCGACCACGACGACGACGGCGACGACGACAACGAGCGACGACGACAACGACAATCGACGCCGACGAGGAACGACGACGACGAACGAGGACGACGATTACGACGACGAGATGACGAAGGTTCGAAGATCGAACCTCGAAGTGCGAAGCTTCGAAATTCAAACTGCAACCTTCGAACTCCGAACTTCAAACTTCGAACTGCGAACTTCGCTGGGGTGCCAGGGATGCAATGGGATGGAGGGAAAAATGGGAAGGAGAGAACGAGGAAGCGGGAGAGGAAATTGGAGGAGAACGAACAGGCGTGGAGCGACGAGGAACGGGCGGCGAGGAGCCGACGTTGAGGGCGGCGGGATGGGGGGACAGGGAGGAGAGGGAAGACTTCTTTACGAAGATCGCGCCACGGCGCCTGCACGAGCGCCCCCGATCTCGGCGGCCGACGCGCGCGCCCCTGCAGAAATGCAACGCGCCCTTCATTCGAGCCCCGCTGCTGCTGCGGAGCCATCTACTCCGAAACCAAATCGTCTGGGGAGTTATTCGGTCCCAAAACTACTGTTTGCCACCCGCTGCTGCGGACGCCGAGGGCCTGGTGCTGGACGCCGCGGCCCCGCTGCTGCGGGGCCCCTGAGAGGGCGTCGGCCCCCCCTTCTCTCTGGCGGCGTCGAACTTGACCTTACGCTCCGCACCGAGGTCCTTGTACCAGCGAAAAGTTCCTGACCCGTCGCTCCCGCCCAAACCCGCGGTTGGTGGCCTCGCCGTGTCCGCGTGGGGGGCGAGGGGCAGAGCTTCGACCTTCCTGTCGCCCCAGTGCGGGTGTAAACGGACGCCTGTCCCGTCGTCGCGGTGCAACACGAAATCCCACATCGGCAGCTTCACTTTCACCCGCTGCCCCGCGAACTGTCGCGCGCGCACAATACTCTGACGCATGTGGTCGTAGCTGTTTGGCCGGACTTCGAGGGAACAGCCGATCAGAGCCCCGCTGCTGCGGGGCCCCTCCACGACCTCCCTGATATCTTCCTCCCTGAGCGTCGCCACCATCTCTTGCCACCGCCAAGGGACTTCCTCGTCGCTTTTGAAACCAAAGCTCGTCCTCGCACCGTGGTCGCAAACAGCGACCATGGTGGGCTTCGCATTGTCAAACCACTTGGCTTCTGACTCGAACGGGGCAGTTGGGTCTTCATTCAGATGGCGCCACCATTTCAACGCTTGATTGTGTTGCTTAAACGAAGTGCCGAGCCTCTCTTCATAACTCAAAAAATAATTAACATCAAACTTCTCAAAATCCTGGGGCCCGCGCGCCGCCGCCGCTGCGGTGGCGCGGGGCTCCTGCGCCGCAGGCGCGGCTCGGGATCCCGACCCCTCTCCTGAAACTGTGTTCCCAAGTTCTGGTACGTTTCGGAGGGCAGCCCTCACGAAATTATCGAATTCGGGCTTGCCGAGACCAGGGGCGCGGGGGCTCACAACGCTAAGCGCGGCGAAGCGAGACGGCCGTTGAGACGAGACCGCCGCCGCTGCTGCGGCGGCAGGGCCATCGCGCCATTTGGCGTCCTCCGTTGGCGTGTGCCCGTCTTGTCGCCAGTCTCTCCAACCCCTCGCTGACCAATCATGGCCGTCCTCCCAGCCACGCCAGCCGCTGCTGCGGCTATCCCACCATCCTCCCGCGCCATCCCATGTGTATCCGCCTGCGTCGCCCATTGCAAGACGATGGCGCAGGCGCGCGTTAGGCCGCGACGGGCCCAGCTGCACCGGTGCTCGCGGGCGATCCCACGGGCGCGGGGTGGTTTGAGCATAGCGGCGGCGGACGACGCGACGTGATTGGACGGCGGAGAACTTGAAAGGAAGGGGGGTTGGAAACGAATGAACGAAGTGGACGAAGAGCGGAAATCGAACCAGAGGGAGGCGAAAAAAGAGCGGAAAAGAATAAGGACATGCAGACGAAGGAGAGTGACGAGGTAGATGGCGGGCCAGAACGGCAACGGAGGATAATGTGGTGGAAATTGTGAAAAGGACGCATGGAACAACACGACGAGGATCACAGACGCAAAGATGATGAGCGCAGTGGTAGCATGACATATCCGAAATCAAGAAGCAGGATGAGGAGGAACGGGATGACGAGCAACTCTGTCGCAGAGAGCCTCCGAACGCACCCCCTCTGTCACAGAGGGCCTCCGAACGCACCCCCTCTGTCACAGAGGGGGTCCGAAAAACACCCCCTCTGTCACAGAGGGGGGAAATGATCACTTTAATGCGGCTTCTGGATTAACGAGGTCGTGGACAGGAGAAGGAAGAGGAGGAGGCGGAGGAGGAGGAGGAGGAGGAGCGAGGCATACAAAAAGCAGGAGAGCGAGGCTGCGGAGGAGGCGGTGCTGTGCAGCACGCGCTGCAGCTCAGAACCCCCTCTGCACCTCCGCGGGCCACATAACAGCGAAGGCCCACCTGACGCCCCTGCGAGGGAGCCCGGGCCCTCGAGAATCGGTGGCCCCTCGTGGCCCCCCCCCCCCGTGCAGCTGGACCGTGAGGCAACTCCTGGCGGCTCCCCTTTGGGGGGTCTAAATGAGCGCCTCGCTCGAGGCATCCTCCAAATCTGCTCCGAAAGCGAAGGACGTTGGGACAGAAAACAGGCAAACCGCTGGAGACATCCCCACAAAACGGCCGCGAACGGGACCGTGAGATAACCCCTGGTGAGTGAGGCTGTCCGGGGTCTTCCGCTGCAAGGGCGCCACTTCTTTGAGGCTCGGGTAGGGAAAGTCGACCACAGAATGGATGTACCCCGAAATTGATTGTCTTGTCGGATCTGCGGGAAAAGGCCAAGAACTCCCAAGATCGATTTGCGGACACTCCACGCATTCGTCGTAGATCCGACGGGGAACAACAATTCCGAGAGACATCACTTCGGTAGCCCATCCCCTGCTCCAGAGGTGGGGGGGGGGAGCGGGCCGGCCGTGGCCGATACGAAACGGGTGATCGCTTGGGCCACGCACGGAGGTCACGCTCCTGGCGCGACTCCTCCCGGGGCCGCCCGGCCCGACTCCCCACGGACGCCCCGGCCAGCGCGCCGGTTCCGCAGGACGCCGGGCCCAGCGGCCCAGCCAGGCAGCCCAGGGACGGCGCGAGCGGACGGGGCGGGGATCTTTTGGTACCCATGGTCACGAGCAGCTGGCCTGCGGAGAGCAGCGCGAACGGATGGAGCATGGGAGCACGCGTTCAAGAAAATGCCTCGTTGCTGATGAGAGCGCTTTTTGACACGGCAAGGGAAGTCACTTCGGGTACACATCAATACTCCAGACACGATGATAACTGATAAAGACACGAGGACCGTGCCTCGAGAGTTGCAGTGAACGCAACAGCTGAGGCGCATGGTTGATACATGGGAAAAGTACACCCGCTGCGCCTTAACATAAACAATTCTGCCACAACGCAACATATCACCGAAGTGCCACATATGTCCGGCATGTGCATCATCGTAGGCGCCAGCAGCTGGCCACCATCCCGTGGTCTCTTCAATGAGGCCAGGTGGAAAAGTCTACCGCAATTGCATGCCTGCCTGGCCTATGCTACCAGAGACCGAAAATGCCATCGACGTTCGTTCGAAATAGGATCATCTTGAATGGTGCATTTGCCTGTTCCCCTCGCACGTGGCTCTGCAGATGTCCGACAAACGCAGGGAATAATCGCGCCCCTCTTCCCACAGTGTGATACGATAATACCTGTACGCGTATACGACCACCCTTCGGGTGATGAGGAGGTTGGGGGTAGGGGGAAAATAATCAACTGCTGGCAAATGCGATGGGTGTGATGATGACGATGCTGCTGACGCGCCCTCGAGTAAGAGACGACGCGTGATGACGATGTTACGCTGCGATGTCATGTTACTTTCGTCCTCGCTTTCGGTTTCATTCGATCGATCCCAATATCGACCTCACAGGATCGACTCCACTCGATCGATCCCATTCGACCGATCTCACTATAGATCTCAGTCGATCTCACTGTATATCGTGTTTTCGATCGCACTATCAGTATCACGTTCGATCTCACACTCGTTTCCTTTATCCATCTCACTATCGATCTCACAGCCAATGTCACAACCAATCTCACTGACGATCTCTTGCTTGATCTCCCTATCCATCCCACTCGAGCGAGTTGATTATCGATCTCACTATCGACTGCGCTATCGATACCAAGGCGGGACACCCCCGTCCACCGCCCGCCCAGCGCCGACGGAGCACCGACGGGACACCAACAGGGCACCACAGGACACCACGGCGGGACACCCCAGGCCATTGCGCGCCCACCAGGGGCGGCGGGGCAGTCCTCTGCACCCAACTCGCCCTAGCGACGGCGGGGCCATTCCCTTCGAGCGGCAACGCAGCCGTCGCCTCGCCCGTACCCACGACCACGACCACGAGACCGAAAACAACGTCCTCGCGGGGGGCTTAGGTCACACTGCGATCTCAAAGTTAGCGTTTTCTTATTCGGCGTTTCGACACTGGGCGGAAGGGGGGGATGGGGGGGAAGGTCTGGCTCAGGTCCTCTGCTCAGTGCGCCTGTTTGGAACCGTGCGTCCTCTGGGGGACTCCGCCTGCTCGAAACAGCTGCCAAAACAGCCAAGATCGACTCAATGGAAGGGGGGGGTGCGAGGGCCCGCGCCGATCGGCAAAACAATGAATCAGAAAACGATCACAAGATGGTCAGATGTTTGTCGACGCTGAGGCCACTGAACGGCAATCAAGACGGTGCCCTTTCCCAGATCTGCTACCGCGCTGTCGTCATGGAGTGGGGCGATCTCAAATCTGCTCAGCCCAAGAGGCAAACATCTTTCAAACACGTGAACCCGGTTATGTGATATTGGCATCACCGTCTGGTCGGTCTTGGGAGACCAAGAGCCAAAGCGACCAGCACCACGGTCCACTAGGCTCCCAACATCGCCACGAGGCGGAGCTCGAGCTCCCAGGAGAGGCCAGAGAGAACCCGAGGAGGTCCCAAATGTCACTGCACCGACCTTGCACCTTGCAGATGTGCTGCAACAGATTTTGCATGGATTTCTGTCAATGCAAAACCCCGACGGAGAGCGAAACAACGACGTAAATGTCACGTGCGTGGTTTTTTTAGTCTTCATTCCTGGCCGAAAAAAAGCCGCACGAAATTCACCTCGAATACATAACCAAATTCTCCAGGACACTCCCGGGCCCATCCTCATCCTATGGTTTTCCGAACGAGGGCCGCTCTGCGATGTTGGCGCCATGACAGGTGGGGGAACCCGAAGCGGCCCACTAGGCTCCCAATGTCGCTGCAGGGCGGAACCCGAGCTTCCAGGAGAGGCCAGCAGAGAGAACCCGAGGAGGTCCCATAAGGGGGGAGCCCGAAGCGGTCCCTGGAGCTCCCGCCAGAGAGGGCGCCCGAGATCGCCGGCACCGCCGCAAAGAGGCGCCCCCCCCCCCCGCGGGGGGCCCTCGAGAGGCCCCTCCAAAAAGGCCTCTGGCCCACGACCCATGCCAGGCTGGACCGAAGGCCACTCGATCCGCCGCGATGAGGAGGAGGAGGAGGAATAGGAGGAGGAGCAGGAGGAGGAGGAGGAGGAGGAAGACGAGGAGGACGAGGAGGAGGAGGAGGAGGAGGAGGAGGAGGAGGGCCACCCGTCGTGGACCGAAGGCCACTCGATCCGCCGCCGCCCGTCGTTCACGAGGCAGGAGAGCCCAGGATCAAATCGATGCGTGGGATCGGCGATCGAGATGAATCGGATCGGCGGGAACCGGCAGCCGAGTCGAGAGGAGTCGAATCGGCAGAAATCGGCAGGCTAGTGTGCGCCCATTAGACAGGCGGACCCCGGAATCGGAATCCGAAATCGAATCGGATCGGAGAAACCATCCATATCGAATCGAATCGAATCGGAGGAGTCGAAACGAGCCCTGCAAGGAGGCACGGCGTACTGGACCTGTCGGACTCGGTTCGGGCCCCTCCGCTCAGCCCTCACGTGATCTTCGGCCCGTGCGCCCAGGGCATACGCCGAACCTGGGTGCCACTCGATTCTCGGGCCATGGCCGCCTCCAAGAGGGTCCAGCATTCGTCCCATGCGCCCCCGGCACGATCAAGGCGTTTCCAATGTTGCTGCACATATGGGCCCCACGAGGGTTGAAGACGCCCTCTTCGGCTTCTCTTGAATCGTCTTGGAGGTCTGCCTCGGGGGTGGTTGGATAGTGGAACGAATAATGACATAAACATAACAACTCCGAGGTCCGCACGGATTTCTCGGATCGGCGCTGGACCCCCCTCCCTGGCGCACGGAGCGCGCCAGGGGTGGCGCTGGAGGCGCCGCCGGGGGGGTCCAACGCGGATCCTGGAAATCCGCACGAACCTCCGAATTGTTATGTTCATGTCATGGTTCGTTCCCCTATTTCAGGGGGCGATCATCACAACAAACACCAGAAATCTTCAACGATTTCCGGGTGCTCGCCGCTTCGCTCTCACCAGCGTCCGCGACGGTGCACGAGGAGGCACCCGGTATTTTTATATATATATATATATATATATATATATATATACATATCTATATATATATATATATAGCTCCCAAGAAGGGTCTCGGGAGGCTCCCAGGAGGGCCTGAAGAGGCCACCGAGGGATTCTCCTCGAGGCGGCCCTGAAGAGGCGCCCGCAGGGGGCTGCAAGAGGCGACCGACAGGTCCCCTCCGAGAAAGAACTCACTGCAAGATCACGCGGCATCGATCCGAGAAATCGGATCGAACCAGGACTTGCGTCGAAACGAGCCGCGCCGCCACATAGTCCAAATCGAATCGGATCGGCTGCGTCAAGATGCACCACAACAACACCATGCGAATATCGGGCCGATCCGATCGTCGGAGAACCGGAATCGAATCGGATCGAGCTAACCAGAATAGATATCAGGTCGGTTCGATCGGATCGAAAGTGGCCCTGCAGGGGTCTCTATTGCAGCTCTATTTGGGGCTCATTTGATTGTATTGGAGGCGCTGGGGGCTTACCATGGCTTACAAAAGAGGCCACAACCATTCAGACTTGGGACATCATCTCCACATGCGCGCAGCTTCGGTCTTGAGAGGGCCCAGGCTGGACCAAGAGGCGGCCGAGATCGACGGCCTCCGAGGCGCCAAGATGGATGGCTCCAGGAGCCAGGAGGGCCCCAAGCAGGTGCAGGTACACAGGCCTCTAGTTCTACCTGAACACGGCCGCACCTGGGACAACGTGTCCCGCGTCCCTCCACTGGACCCCATCCCGGACCACAGGAGGAGTGTGCAAGACTAGCCATGGCAGGGGTGAGGGGGAGCCACTGACCGAGGCGGGTCGGTAGCCCCCACTCTAACCTGCGGGATTGGCTAGTCCTTCACCCTCGCCGCTGTTATGCTGGGTCACGGGTCTTCGTGTGCTTGGACTTTCGCGGTCAAGGGGTAGGGTTTGGTGGAGGGGGGACACGGCTAACCCATGCCCCTCCGGGGGCGCCCCCTCTTGAGCCTTCGGTGGTGTTAGGTTCGTTGCTATTGTTTTGGGTCACTGGCCACTGGCACTTGCGAGCCTATCACTGGACACATTTGATTGTTCGGGGGCGGGAGTGTACAGCCCACTTCGTCCAAACACCTATCAGGGGCGGTTGGGTCTCCGGACCTTTCCCCTGATGGTGGGCGGGGGGGCAGGACGGCGACGCCCTTGGTCTAGGCGCACCGTCAAATGGGTGTGCACATGTCGTTCGGCGGTGGTTTCGGCCATGGTCGGGCGGGGTGTGCAGTCCCTGGGCGCCTGTCTCACTCGGCGGTGGTTTCGGCCATGGTCGGGCGGGGTGGGCGTCCTAAAACGACCCATCGAAACCAGAAGGTGGTAATAAGGGCCAACATAGATGGGAGCGCGGAGTGAACAGGATAGGGAAGCTATGAAGAGGGCGAGAGCTTGGTAACGGAATGCGAGGTCCATGTGCACGAAGCGTCTGGGGACACGAGCGCCACACAACAAGTTTCGGATTTTGGCTGCGCTGCCCGTGTTGGTGTTTCTACACCGCACGCTGTCGATGGCGGGTTCCCCCGACCGTCTGGGGGCGGCACAAGGAAGGGCTTGCCCCATCCATCTGCGCCAGATCGCCGGTTTCCACCGAGTGGCCAGCCGCCCCCTGCCCCACGCGGCCGGGGAGAAACGTGTGGCGTGTTTTTGAGTGAAATTGTTTTGTGGGTGATGTCTCCGTGAATCTCGTCTCTCGGGCGCTCTCTTTAGGACGAACGTCTGGATCGTCACGCTCCCCCCGTGGGTGGGGTCCCAGGGGGCGGGGTCTCCCCTTCGGGCCTCCTGGGGCCTGGACCCAGGGTGGAGCGTCATTCAGCCTGGCAGTTCTGGGCCTCTTGGCGCGTCGGCCCCCCAATAGGGGTCGGTATGACTAAATGCATCAAGTGGGGCCACTGTGCGTGGTGCTCACCGCTGTTGCGGCCACCTCCATGGGGGACCGGGTCGGGCGCACCCCTTTCTCGATGTGCCTCCGCTATTGTGTTGCGCGCCTCGGGCGGTCGTTGTGTGGGCTGGTGCGGGTTTTGTTGCGGGGCTGTACACGCGATCGAGACGCGACGGTCTTCCCTCTTCCCATGGTTGCCCCCCCCCTGCCACTCTCTGGTCGGGCTCCCCTCCCCCCCTCCCCTTCCCCCTCCTCGGGCCCCCTGGTTCTCGTCCTGGTTTCTTCGGTCTCCCTGGTTCCTCTTCTGGCCTCCTGGGCTCCTGCTCCCCGCGTCCCCCCCCTGGGGGCAGACTGGAGAAGGGCGGCAGGGGGGCCAGCCGCTGTGGGCTTCCCCATCCTTCAGGTTGTACATAGAGGTTATACCACCTGCTGGTCCGGGAGTCGCGCAGCGGCTACACCCCGGAGACGTGGACGTGGACGTGGAGGGCCCCAAGCGGGTCAACCCGAGGGGGGCCATGGAGAGCATTACCCCCCCCCCGATGCCTCGAACCTCCGGCAGGCCCCCAAGACGCCCCCGGGCGGCCCCCGCGGGGCACCCCGCATGGGGCCTCGGAGGGCCCCAGAGGGGCCCCCAAGAGGACAGGCACAGGCTAAGTACCCAGGAGGCCGAAGGCCACTGCATGCCTCGGCCTCGCCATCGGACCGAAGGGGAGGCCGGAGGTGTGCCGACAGGGCAGTCGTTTGGCCCAAGGGTTCCTGTCGACGCCGCCCCGAGCCAAAGCGATTGCCTTCTCGAGACTCTCGGCGAGGCGCCACCGCGCAATGCAGGAGGACGATTCTGAACAGACCACGGGGGAAAAAGACTCAAAGCATGGTCTTCTCCCGCTGGTAAAGATTTGGGAATAATCTGAATGGTAACGACGCCGCCCACAAGCAAGCCTGTAACCCACTCTTAGAATCCTTGCCCAGGGCTGAGGGGGATTGACAGGGGGAACCGGCCCAGAGAGGGAAATATCGACCTGGCATCGGCGATGCACCGCCGACACATCGGCGATAAGCCCGCGACTGCGAAGCTACACGTTCCTGGGGGGGGTGGGCTGTCGGGCCCCTGTTGGTGATGGATGGGCCATTGGAGGTCGATGCATCTCCCTTTGAGCCCATCCACCCCTCATCGGGGGTGCCAGATTTGTCCCTGGCCGAAGGTGGTCCTGGACAATTTCCGGGGAGGTCCAGATGCCCTCCAGAGCACCCCCCACGAGGCCCAGGGGGCCGCAGAGGCTCCAACGTAGCGCGAAAAGCTGGGGGCACCTTGGGCCAGGACCACTTCTAGCTACGACAGGGCGAACTTAGACAACGGCAATGCAAAATCTGTATGAACCTGTGTTGCCGAGATTAATGCCACAGGGATAAAAAAGTTCGGGGTTGCGGGGGGGGTATACATGTTGCCTACCGGAGGCCAGCATGTGGGAGGAGAAAGAGATGATGCTAAAAGGACCGAATGCCGAGGATCGAGGATCGAAGTCCGAGGATCGAGATCCCAGAGTCGAGGATCGAGGTCCGAGGATCGACGGCGGCGAGGTCCGAGGATCGAGGATCGAGGTCCGAGGGTCGAAAATCGAAGATCGGGGATCGAGATCCAGGGTGCCAGGGGGAGAAGGAGGAAGACAGAGAGGGAAAGAGACAGAAATATACAGATAGTTACAGGAAGAGAGAGAGAGAGAGAGAGAGAGAGAAGTAGAGAAAGATAGACAGACAGAAGGAGAGAGGAGGAGGAAGAGGAGGAGGAGGAGGAGGAGGAGAAACGCCAAAGTTCCAAACCTATGAACTTAAAGTTGTAAACAAACGATGGAAATTAAGATTTTCATCTGCTCGTGTAGGGTATCTCACGTGCCTCGGTTTCCGTGGATACTAAACCACAGCGATAAAACAGTTCAGGGGGGCAGGGGGAGAAGGAGAAATACAGAGAGAGAGAGAGAGAGAGAGAGAGAGAGAGAGAGAGAGAGAGAGAGAGAGACAGAGACAGAGACAAAGAGAGATAGAGAGAGAGAGAGAGAGAGAGATAGAGAGAGAGAGAGAGAGAGAAAAAAAAGCGAGAGAGGAGGAGGAGGAGGAGGAGGAGGAGGAGGAGGAGGAGGAGGAGGAGGAGGAGAAGGAAGTCTCTCATCGACAAGTCTCTCGCTTCGCTTGAGACATCCTCGAAGAATTGTTGGTTCCGCTTGAGACATCCTTGAACCATTGATCGTTTCGCTTGAGGCTGCCTCCAAAAATAGCTGGTTTCGCTGGAGACATGCTCGAAATCGTCTTCGCTTCGCTTGATGTTGCAATCTCAACATAAGAAGGACATTCACATCCATGGTGATCTTATCACAGTGATAAAACAGTTCGGCCTCCGCGCCCCGCGCCCTTGACCAAACTCTTATTGCCCGTGGATAATCAACTCTAGCGTGTTAAGGGGGGGGTCCTTTTTTATCATCGGCACACGGTTGGTCCACTCCCAGGGTCCAAATGCACCAATTTTCCGAGCTGCTTCCAGCCGTGGCGACGAGGGCCCCTACCGAAGTCCAAATACCGTTGTCTCAACTGGCCCTTCTCTGAATCCAGCGGTACCCCTGAAGGGCGCTGCAACCGCACAACGACACCCCAAGGAATTTCCCACGTGGGGTTAGGGGGCTGAAAAGCAGATGCTGATAAGGTGAATTATATCTGGCCTAACCGAATTTACGAATGTGTAATACATGCCTTAAACTTCTTCGGGGTGTATAAATCCTCTAAGCGGGCGGAACCCGCTTAGCCTGGATCGTTAACCCCCTAAGCCCCAAACCGCTTCGGGCACCTGTGCCCCACCTGCAAGCTACGCTGGGCCAGATATAGCCCACCTGAACATCCGTTTCTAAGCCCCCAGCCCCCTTTCGCAACTCCAGCGGTCGTCCCAGAATCGTCATCCGACACACCGGAGCGGCGCCAGCGAACACCGAGGCCGACGCCACCGAGACCGCCGAAAAAACCTGCTGGCGAGGCGGGGCCGCCAAGAAAGCCGGCCGGGAAAAAATCACGCCGGCGGGCCGCTTTGCGCGCCCGGCCGGAGACGCGCCCGCTTCGGGCGCGAACTAATGGGGGGGCGATGGATGAGAGGGCGAGTACGGTGCCCTTTTCCCGGGCCCTGGAGGCCCCTTGGGACGCGTAAGGGCCTCTTTTTTACAGGGCAGTTTTTAAGACATCGGATTTTTGAACATAGAGGATGTTTAATACATGATTCATGCATGGATGAATCTATGCATGAACTCACCGTTGTTCTTAATGCCAAATCCTTGCATTGATCCGCACGCGGAGCATGTATTAAAAACGACACTGTACGGTGTTGAGCGTCCCTTCTGTGCCCGAAGGGCCTCTTTTTACGGGACCCGAAAGGGCCTCTCTTTACGGGACCCGAAAGGGCCTCTTGGGACCCGGAAGGCGAATGAGAGGCCCCCTGGGGACCCGAGAGGGCCTCTCTTTTTACGGTGCTGAGAAGCCCTTTGTCTGCAGCCCTCGCTGCACCCTCGTCGATCGCCCCCCTGCAGTGCGTGCCCCCCAGGCCGCGGGGCAGATGTCGCCCCCTCTGGCTCGGCAGGCCGCCGCCGCCGCCCCGTCCTGGCCCACGAGCGCAGGCCTGGGAGGCGTCACCTCGCTGGGCGCGCGCGGGGGGGGGGCCTCGGCAAGCGCGGCCGAAGGCTGCGCGGCACACACGCACACGCACACATCATATACATTATATGTACAAGGCAGTTTTTAAGACATAGGGTTTTTTAACATATAGGATGTTTAATCCATGCTTGATGCATGCAAAAAATTATGCATGGACTCATGGTTGTTTTCCATACTAAATCCATGATTTTCTAATACATGATCCACACGCGGATAATGTATTCAAAACGACACTGTATGTATATATATATAGAGAGAGAGATGTACTATGTACTATTACCCGCTCGCAGCAGGCTGAGTCGTTGTCAATGAACTTTCCGAAAGTACACGACCACCACGATACCAGGGGGGGAGGTCCCCCAGGCAAGGGCCGCCCTTGGCGCGTGGAGGTGCTGGGCCTTCTGGGGGATGGCTTAGCGTCGAAGATGGCCCAAGATGGCTCGGAGAGGACGTCAGAGAGTGCAAGATGGCCTCCAAGATGGCTCCAGATAGCGCAAGGTCGCTCCAGATGGCTTCCAAGATGCTCCAAGCGGCCCTAGGACCGCCGCAACAGGGCTCCAAGTGGCCAAGGAGCTCCCAAAGGAGGCCCCCAAGAGACCAACATTCCAACGACAACAACAAGACAATGTATGTAGTTGGCTGTATCACCTTTTCGCTTCCGAAGGCCATCCGAGGCCTCAAGATGGCTCCAAGATGGCCCAAGAGGGCACCAAGAGGGGCGCAAGAGAGCCCCAAGACGGCCCAAGAGCGCCCAAGAGCGCTTCAAGAGCGGCCCAAGAGCGCCCCAAGAGGCAACTTTAGGCACTCCAGAAGGGTAAGGCAAATTGAAGCGTCCTTCTGTTTGTACCGATGCCTTCCAAGATGGTTCCAAGAGCGCCCCTATCCGAAGAACGCCCCAAGAGGGCCCCACGAGACCCCCAGACGGCTCCAAGAGGTGCTCGAAAGGGCCTCCAACAGGCTCCCAAGAGACCCCCCAGAGGCGCCAAGAGCACCCCCGAAGCAACGAAGACGCTCAAAGAGGGCCCTGGGCCCGCCAAGCTGCCCCCCCAGACGCCCCAAGAGGCCTCCAAAACGCTTCCAGGCGACATCCGAGGAGACTCCCACGGGCATTCAAGAGGCTTCTGGCTCTTCTGTTCGCCCTGTTCTTCCTCCTCCTCCTCCGCCTCCTCCTCCTCCTCCTTCTCCTCCTCCTCCTCCTCCTCCTCCCCCTCCTTCTCCTCCTTCTCCACCCCCTCATTCGCTTACTCCTCCTCATCCGCTTACTCCTCTTCCTCCCTTCTGCTTACGCCCCCTCCCCCACTTCCTCCCTTTCTTTTTAAGTGTTTCTCCTCCCTCATCTTCGTCGTCGTCCTCCTCTTACTCCTCCCCTTCCTCCTCATCCTCCTCCTCCTTCGATTTCGCCTCTTTCTCCTCTTGGGGTACGATGGTCTGTCCATCCCTGATTTCCTCTGTATCCTCCCCACATCCGTGATCATAGCAACTCGTCTTGGCATCGTCTCTGGATGGCATGCCTTTCTCCTTCTCATCCATCTCGTCCGCCTGTTCCTCCTCCTCATCCTCCTCCGTCCTCCTTCCTCCCTCGTTCCTCCTCCTCCTCCTCCTCCTCCTCCTCCTCCTCCTCCTCCTCCTCTTCCTCATCCTCCTTATCCTCATCTTTTTCCTGCTCCTCCACGTCCTCCTTCTCCTCCTCCTCCCTCTCCTCCTCTTCCTCCTCTTCCTACTCATCAGCCATCCTGCCCCCTCTTGGGTTACGACGGCGTTCCAAGCCCTTTGTTCCTCTGTATGATCCCTCACTTCCCTGATCAGGGCAACTCTCGGCAAACACGCTTCTAAACGGCCGCCCCCAAGAAGGCCCCAATCAACGTCCAAGATGCACCTAAGACGCCCCAAGAGTTTCTCGGAACAGCGACAACGCTCCGAAGACGATCCGAGGAGCATGCAAGCGCGCGAACGATATCCTGCAAGACGCTGAGAGGCATCCAAAAAACCTCAAATCCCTCTGCTCGCCCTGCTCCTCCTCCTCTTCCTCTTCCGTCCTCCTTCTCCTTCTCCTCCTGCTCCTCCTCATCCGCAAATTGATCATCTTTCTCTCTCATCCACCATACATCCTCCTTGCCCTTTTCCTCCTCCTTCTCCCCCTCCTTCGAACGATAACGGCTGTCCCTCATGTTGCTCCTACGCTTACATGATCGTCTCAACTCGCCTGGGCGTCGGTTTTGGATGGGCTGATGGGGATACGCGAAGCGTCAAGGTAGTGCTTCTTCTTCGAACCACTCGGCTTCACGGCTACACGCAAGAATGACCCTAGGCAAGAGCAACCCCTGGCAGCGGCTTGTCGATCATGGCATACGGCGCGAGAGTAGCGTCCTGCGTGTTTGGATTTCCTTCCCCTTGCCACCCAAAAGTCACGCACCGAGGCTCGCCCCCGCAAAGGCCCACTCTTTCGGCGGCGAGTCCCGAGGGGTGAAGTAAGACGGCACAGGCGTTCTCGGATGATGGCGGGGGGGCCTCTCAGAAGCCATTCGGCCCTGAGAGAAGCCGTCTCTGACTTCGGAAAAGCCTTAGAACACTTCTCAAAAAGCGTGAAGGCTTCGTAGAGAACCTGCCGCCTTCTGGGAAGACCTGTCCCCTCTCACTTCCTCCCTGGGCTCGCCGCTGACTTTTGCGTGCAGTCGAAACGCCCGATGGGGCAGGGCCCTCGGGGAAGCAGAGCCGGCATGAACGCCACGAGGGTCGGACGGCCTGGTCGGCGTGCTGCTGCTGCTGCTGCTGAACCAGACATCAGACACCGAGATTTTCAACAGCGTGGCTCGCCAGAGGTCTGGACATCTTCCCGGGGAGCCAGCTTGTCATCTGGAACTGTTCGCTTTGACTCGGGGGTCCCAAGACCGTGTGGTGACAGACCCGGCGGCGACCTCGAAAGCCGCGAAGACCTCCCCGCACGCTCCGCCACCACACGGCTTTGGGACCCTGGAGGCTCCAGTCGCCCGAGACATCCTCGGAGAACGACCCGAGCCCCAAAACCGTGCGGTGACCCCGAATCCCCACCGACTCACCAGCAACGGTGTGGTCACCACCCCGCTCGGGGGCCCCCGATGGACAGTCCCATGGCCCAGCGCAGGCCTCGGGAGGCCGGAAATTTGCAAACTCTCTCCGAAGGGCAACGATTGCCGGTGGGCTTGTTTTCCACCACCACCATAAGTGGGGGGGGGAGGGGTCCTCCTCCTCCTCCTCCTCTTCTTCGTCCTCCTTCTCATCCTCCACCTCCTTCCCCCCTCCAACTTATGTTGGTGGTGTTAGGTCAGGCCTGTCCCCCTACAGGGGGATTCGGGGCGAAAGATACAAATCAACTCGAAACAAATCCCCTACCTCCTCCTCCTCCTCTTCGTGGAGCGGGTGGAAGAGCGCAGGCCGCCCGCGGAACAGGAGGAGGAGGGGGGGGGAGGAGGAGGAGGAGGAGGAGGAGGAGGAGGAGGAGGAGGAGGAGGAGGAGGATGAGGAGGAGGAGGAGGAGGAGGAGGAGGAGGAGCAGGAGGAGCAGGAGGAGCAGGCGGCCCAGGCCGCCGAGGATGCGGCGGAGGTCCGGCGGGCGCAGCCGCCCTCAGGCACCGGAGACAGTGCTGAAAGCCAGACGGGCGACGATCAGAAAGGGGTCGTACAGTGGGGGCTCGACCACAAGAAACCTTCCACAAGAAACCCAACCCTGAGACCCCAGGACGTCCATTGATTTTTCGTGTGCGCACGTCGCGCTTCCCCTGGCAAAACCATCGAAACCCAAAAAACCCAGGGCACCCTGGAGGCAAGCAGGGTTTTTCTTAGCGTGTGTCCCCACTGTACGCGAGATGACCCAGCAACCTTACCCGGCGGCTTGCGCGGGCCGCCAGCGCGGCACGCTCCATTGTAGACGAGAGCGCTTACGCGCGGCCTTACGTGGGCAGCTTACGCGCCAACGTCGGCGCAGACGACCCCCTTCTTTTGCAACGTCCAGGTGAGGTGCGCGCATCACTTGCAGTCGAACTGGGACAGCGGGGCTTTACCGCGGGGCAAGCCGCCAGCGGGTGGGCCTCGGGCAAAATGCCTGGCGACCAGGGCCACAGAAAAAACGCAAAGACTCTCTGGCTGCATGGCTTTCCGTAGGGATGGTTCGAGTGCTCTCACAATGGGTGCGTTGGTTTCGCGACAAGCAACTCGACGACAAGGTTGGGGGTGGGGGGCAGACTCACGAAAAAAACGCGAAAGTGGGAGCCGATTCGCTTTCGCCTCCCGCTTTCGATTCCCACTGTCGCCTCAAACTTTCGCCTCCCACTTGCGCCTCCCGCTGTCGCCTCCCGCTTTTTCGCCTCCCGCTTTTTCGCCTCCGGCTTCGCCTCCCGCTTTCGCCTCCCGCTTTCGCCTTCGGCTTGCGCTTCCCGTTTTCGCCTCTGGCTTTCGGCTCCCGCTTTCGCACTTTCGCCACTCGAGCAAAAAGGGAAGGCGAAAGCGAAAGCGGCGAAAGCAAACGCGGGATGCGAAAGTGGGAGGCGAAAGCGAAAGCGGAAGGCGATAATGAGAGGCGAAAGTGGGAGGCGAAAGCGAAAGCGGGAGGCAAGAGTGGGAGGCGAACGAAAAAGCGGGAGGCGAATGCGGGAGGCGAAAGCAAACGCGGGAAGCGAAAGCGAAAGCGGGAGGCAAAAGCGGGAGGCGAAAGCGAAAGCGGGAGGCGAAAGTGGGAGGCGAAAGCGAAAGCGGGAGGCGAAAGCGGGAGGCGAAAGCGAAAGCGGGAGGCGCGAAAGCGGGAGGCGAAAACGAAAGCGGGAGGCGAAAACCGGAGGCGAAAGCGAAAGCGGGAAGCGAAAGCGGGAGGGGGAAGGCGAAAGTGGAAGGCGAACGCGAAAGCGGGAGGCGACAATGGAAGGCGAAAACAAAAGCGGGAGGCGCGAAAGCGGGAGGCGAAAGAGCGGAAGCGGTAGGCGAAAAAGCGGGAGGCGAAAGCGAACGCGGGAAGCCACATCGCAAGCGGGAGGCGAAAGCGGGAGGCGAACGCGAAAGCGGGAGGCGAATGTGGGTGGCGAACCCGAACGCGGGAGTGGGAGGCGAAGGCGAAAGCGGACGGCGAAAACGCGAGAGGCGAAAGCGAAAGCGGGAGGCGGAAGCGAAAGTGAGAGTGCGAGAGTGCGGGGCGAAAGCGAAAGCGGGAGGCGAAAGCGGGAGGCGAACGCGAAAGCGCGAAAGCGGGAGGCGGAGTGGAAAGCGGGAAGCGAAAGCGCGAAATCGGGAGGCGAAAACGAAAGCGGGAGGCGAAAACCGGAGGCGAAAGCGAAAGCGGGAAGCGAAATCGGGAGGGGGAAGGCGAAAGTGGAAGGCGAACGCGAAAGCGGGAGGCGACCATGGAAGGCGAAAACAAAAGCGGGAGGTGACAGCGGGAGGCGAAAGCGGAAGCGGCAGGCGAAAGCGGGAGGCGACAGCGAACGCGGGAAGCGACATCGCGAGCGGGAGGCGAAAATGGGAGGCGAACGCGAAAGTGGGAGGCGAATGCGGGCCGCGAACCCGAACGCGGGAGTGGGAGGCGAAGGCGAAAGCGGACGGCGAACGCGAGAGGCGAAAGCGAAAGCGGGAGGCGAAAGCGAAAGCGAGAGTGCGAAAGTGCGGGGCGAAAGCGAAAGCGGGAGGCGAACGCGAAAGCGCGAAAGCGGGAGGCGGAGTGGAAAGCGGGAAGCGAAAGCGGGAAGCGAAAGCGGGAGGCGAAAGTGGGAGACGAACGCGAAAGCGGGAGGCGAACATGGAAGGCGAACATGGGAGGCGAAAGTGGGCGAAAGTGGGAGGCGAAAGCGAAAACGGGAGGCGAAAGCGAAAGCGGGAGGCGAACGTGGGAGGCGAAAGCGAATCGTCTCCCACTTTCGTCTCTGCTGCTGTTCGTGAATGTGTCTCGGTCCTGTCGTGTTTAGGTGCTCCCTTGTTCTGTTTGGGTCCTCCTTGTCGCGTTTGGGTCCTCTCGTTGCCCTCATACTGCTTGCTGCACGCAGTCCAAAAACCAATGGCAAATTACAAAACAAAAGGCACAGTGGTTCCAAATCTGGAGCATGCGCGGGCGCCCCACGACCACTCTGCATTGGTTTTGGCGACAGATGCTCGGATGCTACTTATGTGCTGGGAGGGCGGGTTGGGGTGAGCGAGACGGCCTGTGCCTTGTGAGCAGGAGGTGCCTTGATCACTGTTCCCTAGGAATAAACACCCCCTCCCCCAGGCGACGGGCAGCCAACCAGGACCAATGAGAACCCCCCTTTCCACCATCCAGGTGACAACACAATGTGCAATCCACGTTGGGCCAAAATCTTGGTTTTCGATACGGGTAGTAGGGGTCGACACGTTTCCCGATGTGTACTGCCACGTGCGCAGGCGCACCTGGCTCACTCTGTTTCGTGCCCCGAACGTGGCGCACCTGGCGCGGCTGGAGAATGCGGAACACACATGGCGCACGTGGATCACGTGGCGCATCTGGCGCACCAGGCGTGCCTGGCACGCTTGGGCCACAAGGGTGCCTGGCGCACCTGGCGCGCGTGGCGCGCCTGGCATGCGTGGCGCACCCCGCCCCATCGTTGCGCACATGGGGTCTGTTTTGGTTCCAAGTAGCTGTCAACCACAAGACGACCGCTGAACATGCTGCGGCTCGGGTGCTACTTATGTGTGGGGAGGGTTGGTGGGAGTGAACAAGAAAGCGTGCGGGTGGGGAGAGTGGTTTGATCACTGTTCCCTATTCCTGTACACCCCCTCCCCCAGGCGACCGGCAGCCAACCAGGAACAATGCCGACTACCATGATCACCCCCCCCATCCCTGTCAAACATAATCTAAAATACACTCTGCCTCCAAATCCGGAGCATGCGCAGCCAACCCGATGCGGGCCCCCCACAACCCCTTGCGCAAAATCAATACAAAGTACACTTTGGGGCAAAACATTTGATCATGTGCGTGGGGCCCGCGTGAAAGGAACGGCGGGGGTGTCAGCCGTTTGCCTGCTGTGCTGCAGGGCCACCATCCCTGTCAAAAAAAAATACGACATGCACTTCGCGGCTAAATCTGCCAAGAGGCGCCCAGAAGGCCCCAACGAGGTCCCCGAGAGGTCCGCAAGAGGTTCCCAAGAGACCCCCAAGAAGTCCCAAGAGGCTCCTCCGAAACACCCAAGACGCTCCAAGAGGCCTACGGGACCGCCAAGAGGCCCCAATAGGACTCCAAGAAGCTCTCAAGAGACATCCGAAGAGACATCCAAGGTGGTTCTTGCCGTTCTGCTCGCCCTCCTCCTCCTCCTCCTCCTCCTCCTCATCCGCCTGTTCCTCCTCCCCCCTCCTCCCTCCT